GACACCGAACATGTCACGCTTTAAAATTGCGCACACTCATGGAATAGCGACTATGGTGCTTAAAAATCTTAATAGGCGCCACTTTAAAATTTTTTTACAGGTTACCAGTTTAGAGTAACAGGAGGTCTAGCACTAGAATTATTGCTCTTGCTCTAATGTTCCCGGCGATACCTCATGTGTGCTGCACATATGCGTGCCCGATTTACCTATGCTTCTGCACGCAAGCATGGAGAGATGGGGGTGATTTTAAAAAAAATTTCTTATTTATTTTTTACACTATCCCTTTTTATTTTATTTTATTTTTTTTTACCTTTTATTCCTATTGCAAAAAATTTAAACATCCCTTGTAATAGAAATATGCATGACAGGTCCTCTTTAAGGAGAAATCTGGTTGTCAAAAAGACCCAAAACCTAAAAAAAAACAAAAGATCAATAAAAAAAATATTATGGAATGTTTGCTTTAAAAAAGAAAAAAATACTTTACATCCGTCACCAACCGGAAGTGACGTCATGACGTTGCTTCGGTCCTCTATCACAATAGAGATGATCAGAGATCATAGTCTCTCCATCTTCAGCCGGCCGCACCGTCTGATCGCTTTTCAGGCGCGCCAGTTTTAACGGCAAGCCCAGGAAACACTGGCAAGCGGGGGGAGGAATGGAAAGTGATGCAGTGGCTGGAGAGGCAGTAGTAGGACCGCTTTCAATAAAAAAAAAAAAATACTGGATATCAGATATCAGCCATAATCCTGGTCAACCACCGGAAAATCACAACGTTTATATACGCATTGCCATCTTCAAGTGGTTATGGAGCCAGTTTTCCACCTGGCTTGGTCTGGTACATGGAGACCCCCTCACTGCTCTCACCAGCTGCCTCTCTATCATCCCTATTCCACTGAAGCTCCAGTGCCACCAGTAGAGGGCGACCATCTGCTATGTGAGAGGAGGAAGTGTCCTCAGTACTGGATGGGTGGTGGCCATTTTGTTGTAGACCAGAATAGGAGGAAGAGGAAGGCTTTTTCAATCTAAAACATCCTGGTAGGGATGTGATGGTGAGAGTGTGTGCCCAGAGAGGAGAAGGTAAGAATGTCTTCTTATTATGAGAGGAGGGGGGGGGTGGACTGGATGTGAGGGGGGGGGGTCATGTGATTGGGGAGTCTGGTCATGTGCTTTTATATAAAGCTGACCGGTGGGATGGTTACATTTGATGTTGGGGTCTGCTTGGAGACGTTCCCGGGAAATATCTTATTGGTCCTTCCGCAGATAGCCTTTCATTTCGTTCTGTCTATTTGGGACTTCGACTGTCCTTTTTTTCTTTCTCCGTTTTAATCTCTTTTTACTGATAATTTTTTAACGAAAGAATCAAAACAGCACAAAGAAATCGATGTTTTTGTGTCCTCGCCGGAGGGGAAATAGGTACAGAAATACGGGAGGATTATGCCCTCAATTCCTCAACGACGGGGTCTCCAGTCTTTCCAGCATGAGGGACACTTTATATCAGAAATACCTTCACATCAGAATCCCTCATCTATACAGAGTCCTCCCTTTACATCGGAGCCCCCCTTTTTCATATCAGAACCCCCTCTTGACATCAGACGTTTTTTTCTTTCAAACCAAAAAATCTCCCCTCTTCACTTCAGAGGTCCCCCTTTCATATCATAAGTCCCCTTTTTTTACATCAGAGGTCCTCTTTCACATCTTAGTCCCCCCCTTCACATCAGAACCCCCTCTTACCATCAGAAGTTTCTTCTTTCACATCATAAGCCCCCCCCTTTTCACATTAGAGCCCTCCTTTCACATCATACATCCCCTTTTTCACATCAGAGGTCCCCCCTTTCATGTCTGAGTCCCCCTTTTTTTTATATCAGAGCCCCCCTTTACCTCATAAGTCCCCTTTTTCACATCATAGGTCCCCTCTTTCACATTTGAGGTTCCCTGTTTCAAATTAAAGCTCCCCTTTCACATCATAAGTCTCCTTTTTTACATCAGAGGTCCTCTTTTTGAGGCCCCCCCGACATTTGAGTCCCCCCTTCACATCAGAACCCCCTCTTACCATCAGAAGTTTCCTCTTTCACACCAGAAGTCCCCCCTTTTCACATCATAAGTCTCCCCTTTAACATCTGAGTCCCCCTCTTTACATCAGAGCCCCCCTTTCACATCATAAGTACCCTTTTTTACATCAGAGGTCCCCCCCATTTCTCGTGTGAGGTCCCCCGTTTCACATCAAAGCTCCCCTTTCTCATCATAAGTCCCCCTTTTTTTTATCAGAGGTCCCCCTTTCATATCAGAGGTCCCCCCTTTCGCATCTGAGTCCCCCTTTCACATCAGAACCCACTCTTACCATCAGAGGTTCCCCCTTCTCACATCAGAGGTCCCCCCTTTTCTCATCAGAGGGTCCTGCTTTCACATCAGAACCACCTCTTACCATCAGAAGTTTTCTCTTTCACATCAGAAGTCTCCCCTTTATATCTGAGTCCCCTTTTTTTTTTACATCAGAGGCCCCCTTTCATATCTGAGTCCCCCTTTTTACATCAGAGTCCCCTTTTCGCATCATAAGTCCAAATTTTCTCATCAGAGGGGCCTGCTTTCCATCAGAACCACCTCTTACCATCAGAAGTTTTCTCTTTCACATCAGAAGTCCCCTTTATATCCCCCTTTTTTTTTTACATCAGAGGCCCCCTTTCATATCTGAGTCCCCCTTTTTACATCAGAGTCCCCCTTTTCGCATCATAAGTCCAAATTTTCACATCAGAGGTCCTCTGTAGGATTTTCTGAGACATGTATAATACTTCTTTAGTGTCTATAGGCAATTTTGCAATTAAGAGAGCCGGTGAGATAAAAAATAAAGTGTGATTTTATTTTATCACACAAAGGCTTAAAATAACAATGTAAAGCGTATCATGAACAGTTCCATGTAGAAAAAAACCAAAAATATCAAAGCAGAAGTTTAAAGATAAGTCACCATTATTTTCATGGCGGATTGTCCTTCATGTGGTCTTGTCTTGTGATGCTTCTTCTTCAGAGTCTTTCTGGAAGTAGACGTTAGTGACTATTTCTTGTCTTGCAGCACCTGTTCCAGCTTCTCAGAATGTTCTTATGCGTGTCTGTATGGACAGACGTGTGTGTGTGTGTGTGTTTGAGTGTGTCTCTTAAGACGCCTTTTTATGATGCTAGTATGCATCATAATTAGTGATCTTAGAACCTTGTATGGCAACAATACTGCTTAGCAGAGCAATTTCATTGAAGGGAGGGGACGCTACATATATGGTATTTTGATTGACGGGCACATATGTAGTGACCATAATAAGCTGGTGATATTACATCAGCTTGCTCATATTTAAATGATAATATAAATTAAGAATGTATCTTTACAACATCTCAATGTTGTATAACCACAAATCTACATATGTTACATTACCAACATATAAAACATAAGCTAAGTCCATGCAGATACTATTAGTATACATTATGTAATACTTATTCTATTTTGATTCACTTCTAACACCCTTGACATTCTACACCAGAGTCCTGTAACCAGCTATGCCTTATTATAGAATACTCAGCTTTCAGCTGGTTAATTCAGCCATAACTGAAGAAATTAACACCATCACTGGTTACAGGCCATTCACACATATTAGTATTAATTATGATTAATCATAAAAACCAAATATTTTGCAAGCCTGCCATTAATATAAGTGCCGAATTATGAATTTGATATAATAATATTTATCATCTTCTTTCACATCTGAGTCCCCCGTTTCACATCATAAGTCCCCATTTTTACATCAGAGGTCCCCTTTTTGTGTGTATATATGTGTGTGTGTGTGTGTGCATGTATATATGTATGTGTGTGTGTGTGTATATATATATGTGTGTGTGTGTGTGTGTGTATATATATGTGTGTGTGTGTATATATATGTGTGTGTGTGTGTGTTGACATATATATTCTATATCTGTGTATGTTTATATATTTTGGGTCCTGAAACAGCCTAAACAAAGACAGAATTCATTTCTGGGGAAACGCCTCTAAACAGGTCACCTGATTGAAGATGGAAAAGGAGCCAAGTCACACCACAGAGAGGATATTAAACCTCACCCTGGAGATCATCTACCTGCTGACCGGAGAGGTGAGGAGGATTCTGGGAGGTCACATGACATCACTCCTATCTCTATTAATAAAACACAGCCCTGACCGGAGAGGTGAGGAGGATTCTGGGAGGTCACATGACATCACTCCTATCTCTATTAATAAAACACAGACCTGACCGGAAAGGTGAGGAGGATTCTGGGAGGTCACATGACATCACTCCTATCTCTATTAATAAAACACAGACCTGACCGGAGAGGTGAGGAGGTTTTTGGGAGGTCACATGACATAAAACAGACCTGACCAGAGAGGTGGAGGATTCTGGGAGGATCACTAGGCATCACTGTCTTGTTAATAAAACACAGACCTGGCAGTCATGTCAATGAATTGTGAATGTTTGATCTAGTTGGGATGGTGACATACTCTGTTGTTTTGGCTTTATTATAGAATTATATAGCTTTCAAGTTATCTGATGGCTTAGTTGCTTCCAACATGATGAAGACCCAGGGCGCCAGTACAGATCATCCATCGCACTCCTCAAGAAAGAACAAGAAGGTTGAAGACATCACCCAGAAGATCATTGATCTGCTGACAGGAGAGGTGAGCGGTGCCGGGAATTCTGGGACATTCTGCAGTAACAGACAAGGGATGTGTCTGGATGGTGACTGTATCATTGTGTGTGTCAGGTTCCTATAAGGTGTCAGGATAGCTCTATCTCTTTCTGCCCAGAAGAAAATAACTACTTAAGACATGAGGATCTGGAAAAGGACAACATGGTGGAAAACCAGACACCCGTCACCTCACTGGGTAAGAGGAGACTTTCATTTCTTGTATTGAGGATCCACCAAGATACACACATCCTCTGATATAAAGACATAGAAACAATGTATTCAGTCAGTGTGTGTGTTTCCTACAGATGGATCCAGTAATGGGAACCCACCAGAGAGATGTCCCCGTCCTCTGTATTCCCGGGACTCCACACAGGAACATCAGGAGGTCCCTCAGGACGATCAGGTAATTGGAAACCAATATATTAAATATCACCAATGTATGCTAAGAAGCAGATCCATGAAGCACTACTCTTTGGGTTTTGGGAATGAAACTTGGGTGCTACCATCTTTGTGAGTTGTAGACTTACTGCAACCCATTTGGAATTACATCTACTAGACCAGGGGTGGGCAACTTTAGCCCTCCAGCTGTTGTAGAACTACAAGTCCCATGAGACATTGCAAAACTGACAGTTACAAGCATGACTTCCAGAGGCAGAGGCATGATGGGACTTGTAGTTCACCAACAGCTGAGGGCCACCAGTTGCCCACCCCTGTACTAGACCAAGGTGTGAGGACACACATTCTCAGTGCAAGAGCAAAACATAGGACATGAGTTCCTCAAAAGATCAGTAAGAAACCTGTGTGTTGGTTTTTTTTTTTCTTTTGCAGTATCCTACTTTGTGACCATTTCTATGGCAATACTGCTTTTATGTTCAAGAGAATTCCATGCAAAGAATTTAGTTTTATCCTATTGCAGGTTACATTAAAGGTATACCAGATTGATTATAAAACAGAAGTTAAAGAGGAAGCAGAAGATCCGAATGTGATGGGTGATGAGCCATGTGAGGAGGAGGAGGAGATCCCTCCAGAGATCAGCACAGGTGAGGAATAAACACTAAATCCAGAGAAGAGTCCCAGATCCTCCTTGTTCAGTTACTACAACCATCTCTTCTTCTCCCCCCTCCTCTGTCAGTAGACAGTAATGGGGGGGGGCAGTATGTGCCCGGTGGGGGGGTCAGGAGCCATCAGCCTCTATTAGACTCTGGCTATGAGCCATGTAAGGAGAAGGAGATGCCTCCCAGAGATCAGCACAGGTGAGGAATAAACTCTAAATCCAGAGAAGAGTCCCAGATCCTCCTTGTTCAGTCACTACAACAATCTCTTCTTCTCCCCCCTCCTCTGTCAGTAGACAGTAATGGGGGACAGTATGTGCCCAATGTAAGGAGGAGGAGATCCCTATGTGAAAGGCGAAGGTCCATGTAAGGAGGAGGAGATCCCTCCAGAGATCAGCACAGGTGAGAAATAAACACTAAATCCAGAGAAGAGTCCCAGATCCTCCTTGTTCAGTCACTACAACCATCTCTTCTTCTCCCCCCTCCTCTGTCAGTAGACAGTAATGGGGGGACAGTATATGCCCAGTGGGGGGGTCAGGAGCCATCAGCCTCTATTAGACTCTGGCTCTCCTCCTCACATCATGTCATTGAGACGTGACCAGTCTCCCCCCACACACACACTCTCATCTCTCATACATCTCAGTACAAGGGGCTTCAGTCTCATCTTTATTCACAGACCCCGGAGACTCCAGAGAGACTCGGAGAGATATCAAAGCTGGAGAGGAAGAAGGACATGTTAAGATTAAAGAGGAGGAAATTCTGGTAGAGATCGGTATAGGTGAGTAGTAAACACTAAATAAAGAAAATGGTTCAAGATTCTCATTGTTGAGCTGTTATTTATAAAATGTGTCCTTAATGGTCACTATAAATGAGAAGCCTATCCTAAAAATCATAATTTTTTGTACTTCCCATAAAATCCAATTCTTCTAGTTCATTAAAGTGCCACTAAACCCACATCATAAAAAACTGTCAATAAATGCCACATTAAATGCTATTCATACTCACTCAGTCACTGTAAGATTAGTTTTCTGTATTTTGCAAAAAACCTGGTTGATCCTGCTGCTCTCTATCTCCCCCTGCTGTCCATGTCCCCAAAGCAGCTGAGGATTTTGCAGAGCAGTGTTGGCAACTCTGCACATGCTCAGTTTTTTCAGCAAGTTTATATCCTGAACATTTCCCACCTATCACATCTTCCAAGGAGCAGGGCCCTCCTATCCCTCTTGTATTGAACTGTATTGTTGCTGTATTGTCTCCCGTTATATATTGTAAAGTGCTGAGCAAACTGTTGGCGCTATATAAATCCTGTATAATAATAATATCTGAGCAGCCCATGTGACTATAGAGTCACACATGTGGGCGTATACACACTGGTAAATGACAGCCCACTCCCTCCCTCCTCTTCATGTCCACTAACCAGCTAAACACAATGGTGGGGATGGGATAAAAAAATCTTGATTGACAGAGGCTTCACCTTCCACTTATTGTAAGACATGCACTGGAGGGGCATGACACAAGCTGTGACTGGCAGAAATCCACCCACACCATGTAATTGCAAAATAATAAGAAAGATTTGCTTTTGAATATATATCTGTATGACATAGTTACATAGTTAGTCTGGCTGAAACAAGACAAAAGTTCATCCATAAAAAAAAAAAAAAGTTATAATCCTACACCCACAGTTGATCCAGAGAAAGGCAAAAAACCCAGCAAAGTCCAATTTGCTTCTGCAGGGGAAAAAAAATCCTTGCTGATCCCCGCGAGAGGCAATCGGATATTCCCTGGATCAACTTTGCCTATAAATGTTATATCCAGTTATATTCTGTGTATCCAAGAAAGAATCCAGGACTTTCCTACAGCAATCCACTGAGCTGGCCAGAACCACTCTTTAAACGATGATAGCGTTCCTTCATTTTTATATTTAATGAAAGCTCTTTTTCTTATTATTTATAGCTTTATATTATTTATGTATTCCAAAGGCTGTTTTTTTTTTTTTTTTAACACATGACCAGCAGCAGAGGACTGCAAGCTCCTCCTGCCACTGTTTCCCTGCAGACAGGCTGGGAAAGAGCTTGGTCATGTGACAGCTGTGTATTAAATAGGGGAAAAGGTTGTTGGTTGTGCGAAAGTGACGTCATCATGGGCTCAGCCAGTCAGAAGGCACATGAACCCGAAAGGAAGACCGAGGGAAGGCGGAAGCCCTGTCAGTGGTGACAGCGTGCCACTGTAGGGCTTCATTCTAAGGTAGGTACTTTATAATGTGCTAGTAAGGGATACATACTAGCGCATTATGCCATTGTCTTGCAGGTTACAAAAAAAAAAAAGGCAGCGGTTAAACCGTAAATGTTGTTTCACAAGGTGAGGGTTCACATATACTTTGCGTTCATGTCCTCTTCCCTCTCCTATTTGCCTCAGATGGACAACAGATCGTGAAGAACAAGGAGGAATTTTCCATTTTGACTTCAGGAAATGGAAATGACGTCACGTTGCGGTTTCCGGGAGAAGACCACACTACCCCAAATCTCCATCCAGCACTCCTCCCCAGTGCAGGTCGATTATCCACTGCCTCTACACCTGGGGGGACTTTTCCAGATCACTCGGCTCCCATCACCCACCATAGAGGTCATGGAAAGTTTCTTTGTTACATGTGCGGGAAATGTTTTACCAGGAAAGAAAGTCTCACCTTACACCAGAGGTCTCACACGGGGGAGAAGCCACATTCGTGTTCTGTATGCGGGAAATGTTTCCTTCGGAAATGGTGTTTGATTAATCACGAGAGAACTCACACGGGAGAGAAACCGTATTCATGTGCGGAATGTGGCAAACGTTTCATGCACAAGTCAAATCTTGTTTTCCACCGACGGATTCACACAGGCACTCCAGCGACAGATCTGCACAAGCCGTACTCCTGTTCAGAGTGCGGGAAATGCTTCAAAGTAAACGCCGGTCTTCTTCTGCATCAGAGAACTCACACTGGAGTGAAACCATATTCATGTTCGGAGTGCGGGAAATGTTTTTCTATGAGCTCAGCTCTTGTAAAACACAAGAGAATTCACACCGGGGAGGAAACCGTATTCCTGTTCGGAGTGTGGGAAATCCTTCAGCCAGAGGACCCACCTTGTTTTACATGAGAGAACTCACACCGGAGTGAAGCCGTATTCGTGTGAAGAGTGCGGGAAATGTTTTACTGCAAGTTCAGCTCTTGCTAAGCACAAGAGGACTCACACGGGGGAGAAGCCGTATTCCTGTACAGTTTGTGGGAAAGGTTTTGCACGGAAAGAAAACCTTGTAGTTCATCATAAGATTCACACCAGGCAGAAGCCGCATTCATGTTAACAATGAAGGAGGTGCTTTCTGTAAAAAAAAAAAATATATATTTTTGAAACTAACCTAAAAAATTTTAATCATTAAAAAAAAAAAAAAAAAAAAAACAAACAAAACTTTGAATCTCCACTCCTCCAATGGAATCAAAGATTATATCCCCTCTGGGGTGTGACAGTAGGTTACTCATTGTAACATCTAAAACACAATCTGTACCTATGGCGCTCTTCAAGCCATTGTTGCCTCTAAATGGAGAACGCAAAATTTTGATCCGTATCTAAACATTAGCCGCATTGTTAGAACAATAAAACAATTTTGCAGTTTATATTTATTAAAATAATTGCATTTCCCTGTTCACGGATATAGTGAATGCGGGGTCCGAGGAGAGCGGATATAGTGACTGCGGGGTCCGGGGAGAGCGGATATAGTGAATGCGGGGTCCGGGGAGAGCGGATATAGTGACTGCGAGGTCCGGGGAGAGCGGATATAGTGACTGCGGGGTCCGGGGAGAGCGGATATAGTGAATGCGGGGTCCGGGGAGAGCGGATATAGTGACTGCGGGGTCCGGGGAGAGCGGATATAGTGACTGCGGGGTCCGGGGAGAGCGGATATAGTGAATGCGGGGTACGGGGAGAGCGGATATAGTGACTGCGAGGTCCGGGGAGAGCGGATATAGTGAATGCGGGGTACGGGGAGAGCGGATATAGTGACTGCGGGGTACGGGGGAGAGCGGATATAGTGACTGCGGGGTCCGGGGGAGAGCGGATATAGTGACTGCGGGGTCCGGGGAGAGCGGATATAGTGACTGCGGGGTCCGGGGGAGAACGGATATAGTGACTGCGGGGTCCATCAGTGCAGCCTCATCAGCGCACATCAGTGAAGAAGAAAAATTACTTATTTCAACATTTTCTGTCTTTTTTTTTTTTTTATCAAAAAATAAAAACCCCAGTGGTAATCAAATACCACCAAAAGAAAGCTTTATCTGTCTCAAACAAATGATAAAAATGTCATATGGGTACAGCGTTGCATGACCGTGCAATTGTCATTCAAGAGCTGAAAACTGGCCTGGGCAGGAAGGGGGTGAAATTGCCCGGAATTGAAGTGCCTCTTGTAGAGGTAGCTCTCTTAATTCATATCCTGCATCAAAGTTGTGTCCATCATCTAAGCAGAAGCCCGGTTTTGTTCCTCACGCTGTGTGATCATTTCTGGAGTAAGTTCGAGGAGAATCCATATCTGTTACAAAATGCCTTAGGGAGACCATCTGCGTTAGATCTGAGTTTCACCTTTTTGGTCCATTCCCAGGCTAAGGCACCCCACACGGCAACAAGTGTCCTGCAGACCGCGTTCCATGTGTGCAATGACTCCTAGTTCATATATCAAATTGAATCAGCAGATTCTAGAGCTTGAACTTGGATACTGGCTTGGGAAGGGTTGGTCTTCAGGATTGAGGTACCCATCTCAGAAGATCTGAGTAGGCAAACCAGTTTAGATAAGGGTTTGGGTTACAGGGAGGGTCACGGATATAGGGAAGGTTGGTGTAAAGATTACAGGGAAGGTTAGTGTTAGGGTTTCAGAGTGTGAACGGGACAAGGAGGGTTACTCTGAGTGTTCTGGGGTGGTTGGGGTTTCAGGGAAAGTTGATGTTAGAGGGCGGGTAAATGTATGAGCTATTTGGTGGGTCAGTGTTAGGGTTAATGTGAATGCGGCAGGATTAGTAGTGTTGGGATTACAAGGATGGTTAGGGTTAAAGGTAAGATAGTGTTGGGGTTCAAGGAAGGTTCAGTATGAGGATTACACATAGGAGTGGTATCGGATTATCTGCAGGGTTAGTTTGAGCATCTCAGGCAGGATTGGTGTTAGGGTTATACAGGTGTTTAGTGTTAGGGTTGTAGGGTTGTAAAGAGAATTAGTGTGAACATTACATGAAAGGTTACAGGCAGGGCCGACTTTAACTTGAGGCAAAAAGGGTACGCTGCCCTGGGCCCAGTCATGGTTGTGGGGCCCATAGCAGCTGCCCTTTGAGCCCGCGCTGCCCATACTTGCCAGTGGTTTTCCAGGACAGTCGGGAATTCTAGTAGGCTGGTCTGCCGGGTTACTGCAGCTTAGCATAGAAGTGTCGCCTGTTAGCACTGTGAGAACTTGGTCTCAAGAGTCATTACTGGTTGTCACTGCCCCCACTGTTTTCAGTGCCCTCCTGACCCCCCTGGTGTGTTCGTTCCTGACACCCAAGGTGTGTGCCCTACTGAACCCCCTTGTTTGTGCCCTCCCAGCTGCCGTACTGTGCTTTCTCGACCCCCATCGTGTGTTCCTTCCTGACCCCCAAGGTGTGTGCCCTACTGAATGCCATGGTTTGTGCCCTCCCGACCCCCCTGATGTGTGCCCTCCTGACCCCCCTGGTGTATTCCTTCCTGACCCCCAAGGTGTGTGTCCTATTGAACCCCTTGGATTGTGCCCTCCCAACCCCCATGGTGTGTTCCTTCCTGACCCCCAAGGTGTGTGCCCTACTGAGTCCCCTGGTTTGTGCCCTCCCGACCCCACTGGTGTGTTCCTTCCTGACCCCCAAGGAGTGTGCACTACTGAACCCCCTGGTTTGTTCCTTCCTGACCACCAAGGTGTGTGTCCTACTGAACCCCCTGGTTTGTGCCCTCCCAACTTCTCTGGTGTGTGCCCTCCCAGCCCCCATACTGTGCCCCCCCGACTCCCCTGGTGTATGCCCTTCTGACCCCCCTAGTTTGTGCCCTCCTAGCCCCCGTACTGTGCCCACCGACTCCCCTGGTGTTTGCCCTCCTGACCCCCCTGGTTTGTGCCCTCCCAGCCCCCATATTGTGCCCTCCAAACTCCCCTGGTGTGCTCCTTCTTGACCCCCCTGGTTAGTTCCCCCCCCCTCCCCAACCCCCCTGGGGTGTGCCCTCCCTGGCTCTGTACTGTGCCTTTCCAATCTCCCTGGCGTGTGCCCTCCAAGCCCCTGTACTGTTCTCACCCAAACCTCCTGGTGTGTGCCCTCCCAATCACCCTGGTCTGTCTCCCCCCCCCGACCCCCTGTGTGTGTGCCCTCACAGCCCGCGGACCGTACCTTCCTGACTCCTCTTTTGTGCACCTCCTGGCCCCCTCCTGTAATTGATCACAGCAGAAGCCAATCAGCGGGTGCCGGCCAATGGATGAGCGTCGGCACCTACCAATCGTCTACCAGGGAAAGAGAATCCAGCAAATTACCTAGTGAAAACAGCACAGACAGTACCCATTACACATAGCTAGGCTCACCGTTAACCCCTTGACCACCCTAGATGTTTTACCCCTTCCCAGCCAGTGCAATTAGTACAGTGTCAGTCAGGGGCGGACTGAAAACTCATGGGCCCCCAGGCAATAGGGGATCATGGGGCCCCTGTGTCCTTGCCCAAACTCAAAAAAGCCTATGAAAAAGGTACCAGGGGCATCTCATGGGGCCCCCTGCTGACCCCGGGCCCTCGGGCAGTGCCCGAGTTTTCAAATGGTTAGTCAGCCCCTGGTGTCAGTGCATATTTTTAGCACTGATCACTATTAGTGTCACTGGTTCCCACAAAGAGTCAGTTAGTGTCAGATTGTCCGCCGCAGTATCACAGTCCCGCTATAAGTCGCTGATTGCCACATTACTAGTATAATAAAATAAATAAAATAAAAATTCCAATATACTGTATATTATAGTTTGTAGACGCTAAAACTTTTGCGCAAACCAATCAATATACGGTTATCAGGATTTTTTTTTTTACCAAAAATATACAGCTGAATACATTTTGGCCTAAATTTAAGAAGAAATTAGATTTTTTAAAATCTTTTATTGGACATGTTTTATAGCAGAAAGTAAAAAATATTGTTTTGGGGTTTTATTTTTTTCAAAATTGTCAGTCTGCTTTTGTTTCTAGCACAAAAAAATAAAAAACTCAGAGGTGATCAAATACCACTGAAAGAAAGCTCCATTCGTGGGAAAGAAAGGACATAAATTTCATTTGGGTGCAGCGTTACTTTAACTGACAATTGAGCGGTCATGCAACGCAGCACCGTGTTGCAAAAAAAATGCCCTGGTCAGGCAGGGAGGGGGGATCCTCTGGAGGGCGAGGGGTTTGAGTGGATGTGAGCTGTAACTGGATAACATTTACTTTGACAAAGTACTGAGTATCATAAACATTCACCTTTTCCCCCCAATAAATATTGTTTTTACATTTTTGTTGTCCTTTTTTCTATTCTCAGTGCTGTTGATCTTCTGCAGCCTCTTCCCGTTTACTTTCTCCAGCGTAAGCTGCACATTGTTGCCCTGGACCAGCATCTTGAGAATGCTAATAGAGGGCCACACTTATGCAATGCATGTCAGCATGGTGGTAATAATAATAATAAGCAAACTTAGATAAATAAATAAACAAAAATATAAAGTCCCATAAACCTAAAGTCCAAAGTAAAGTCCAAGTGTCCAAAAATCTTTGCAAGTGATTTCCCAATAAATCTTTATCCCCGGATCAGATTGGTGGTATATTCCAGAAAATCTTCCAATACCTCAAAGAAAAAAATCTCAATATAGTATATTACCCCAAATATTAAAATAAAGTGCCACATGCAGGTACAAAACCAAAAAGTGCCACAGCAATCGTGAGATCTTAGAGTTAATAATTCATTTAGTAACTCCACTGCACACAATATAAAAGTGCATAATTACCCCAACATAGATAAAATCAGCATAGAATCCATAGTATAGATGAGAATGCCTCCAAACCTAGTTGTAATATCTTCTCCAGCCATTGCCCATAGACCTCATAAACAGACCAGGGATCAGTATATGTATTAAAAGATAAACATATTTTATTGTAGCAACTTACATTAAAATTTGATGAGAACAGCTTCCTGTAGTGAGATAGTCCAGACAAACCCCACTCCTTAACAGTAACTCTTATTTAAAGCCACTTATCACTTCAGAAGGAAAGCCAGGCACACATGGAAGTCTCCAGGGTTGGAACAACTGCGTGTTCCAGAACCCAAAATGGCC